AACATGCTGTTCGCTGGCGGACATATGACGGTAATAAATCATATTATAAGTCACGACATACGAATGTGCACTTTCGTCCACGCTGTCGTCTGAGGAAAACAAAGCCTTGGAGAGAAATGGCGGCGGATTAAATTATACTCCTGACAAGCACAGCCGATGGCGAGACGAGGTCCTTGCCAGAAACCGATGTCAGTGGGACATTGGCAACTTCTGACACACAAGACCCTTCACTGAAATATGCAACAAAATATCTGACAAAATTCTTTATAGATCATTAAGCAGACGATCTTTGTAATGGTGAAGTGTAGTGTTTTCTTCGCGGTGCGAGCTGAATCCTTAAATAATATTTACACTACCTTCCGCTTTATAGTATAAAAATATACCTGTACAGAAATAAGAGCCTATCAAGCGCGATCGGGAAATTCAACTACGCTGTTGGCAGGACTGTCGTTTTGGTACCAACATGTAAAATCAATAACAGATTACCAGAATACGTGTTCGAATTCGTCACACATTAAGCTTCATCACTCACGACCAACTACGCCATTTGCACACATTCAATTGTTTGCAAGTTGCAGGATCACGGTATCGATTGTTCCATTATAATCGATATTAACGCAAAACTGGTAAATAATTGAACTATGTTCCTGAGAAGAATATTTTAAGGTCATTTTCTCAAACTGGGCAAATTTTTGAAATGTGTGGTAATAAGGACACAATTTTTACGGATATTAATAACAAAGAAAAACATTTGTTTTCTCGAATATTTTCTTTTCCGACTCGTGACAATGAACTGGACGTTGTGATGGAAAGCTGTCGCGAACCAAAATAATATACCCAGCTTAAGAGTGTCTGAAACTTGCTCTAACAACCATTTCACAAGTCTAAAACAGTGAAAAGTATCTATCAGGTAGGAAAACTGAAACGAGTTACACAAATCTCCAATCTCGATGAAATGAAGGAGTTTTACGTGGCTATTTAAAATTATTTTTCAATGTTTGCCATACCGAACAAGACTAAGATCAATAACCTTTATATCTTAATACACTTTAAAATGTATTTTAAGCGTTTAATCCCGGATGGTAACTTTAAATATAAGATGGCTTAACTCTGGTGAGATTTTTGGTTCGTACGATTCTCACTGCAGGCAGGAATTATTTCCAATCAACTGCGTTAAATTTGTTGATCTTTGTATTGGTGAAGAGACGTGTTTTCTTCGCGGTACGGACCGAATTCTTAAATAGTTTCGGCTTCGAAGGGTACAAAGAGTTTTCTGATGTAACCACACATAAAAATGAATCCGGTGCTCCCAGAGTCTGGGTCTTCGTACAAACGCCAGTACACATGCACTTAGGCCACAATGCTGAATAAATATTACCAGAGTCTGTCGTTGATCAGCTGACGAGTCACTCCACCCAGCAGATGACACATTCACGGGCGCGGAGATCGGAAAAATGCGATTAACTGGACGGATGCAGCTGTTTTAAGATATGAAACCAAACAAGGTACAATACCAGGAGGCGAGGTCTGAACTACTAGCGATCGGAGAGACAGCCAATTGGAGGCCTCGCGTTAAAGACAAAAAAAAAAAAAAAAAAAAGACTACCGCGAAGCACAGTAATTAAAACAATAACAAGTTCAGAAACATCCGGCTCTGTCCAGATGGACCAACCGGGGAAAAGAGACGTCCTGCACCCTCATTAACCCCCCCACTCCACCCCTCCAACATATGACCACACACGAGAGAGACGTTGTTATGCTAACCAGAGCAATTCTGAATCTAATGGCCGTAGCGAATTGCCAACTTCAATCAGCGAAAAACCTTTGGTCCTTCACAGGAAGACGTCCTTGAAGCACACTTTGAACCGGTTCAATCCAGTCCGCATTATAGGAAACCAGTCGTACAAAATCAATTTGAACAATATTTTCCACGCGGACAGTTTGCGAAATTGCTTTAGAGATTAAATATCCGGGTTATATATATGACCAGCGAACAGCAACTTATTTCCTTCCACCACATAAAATGTACTTTTGTTGCATTACTTAAGGACGCTTTCAGTTTCTCAGATGATGGCAGGGTTCGTTAACAAACACCGAATTCGAAAGGGTGTGGGAGGAATCTTTAAAATGCACTCCAGTCAAGATACACAGTTTCCATGTCGAGATTCAAACCTGGGACCTCCCAAATACGAAGCACCAGGTCGCGACTTGCTTACTAGAAAGAACTTCATAAGTCCCTCGTTGTGTTAAATCTCCCATCTCCATTCATTTGTTCTCTCGTAAGTCCCTGTGGTTCACTGTCTTGCCAGATGGCTCTGCTTTCGGTGCTTGCTCTGACCTAACGCGTTACAGCCATCTTGTAAATTACGTGAATGTGAGAAATATTTTGTATGTTGTTATTTATTTCGAATATAAATAAAGAATATTAACTTCAATCTTAAGAAGCTTTTTAATTTTAATTAATTTCATCAATTTCTTTATATTATAATAGGCAAACTTCACTACGCCAACCCCCTCAAAAATAAACAAATAACGAACGATCGAATGCCATAAAAGACGAAATCCCAGCACAAGGACCATCGGCTTTTCAAGAAGAATTCTGCTGCATGGAGTTGCTGTATCAAATGCAGATATTTCTGACGTCATACCAAATTACAGAACGACTACAC